CCTCCAGGGGTCCACTGCCCCCTGTATATCAGGATACAGATGCCAAGGGGTGGACAGTGTGTCCATAGGGTCTCTCACCACCTAAGGTAGCTCCTAAACTCAGTCCTTCATGGAACTCCCTCCCAAGAGAACTGGGGACACAGTAGGGATGGAAAGCCTGGTAAGAAAGGAGTGCTATTTTTCCTTCTAGTCTGTTCTCAATACTTGGAGCCACCAAATCTGTCCCTTCCCCCCCATACCATTTTCTAATTCTCAGTGGACACTAATGGGTGTCCTACAATTTCACTCCGTTCTGACACTGTGTGAAATTAGTGCAGACCCCACAGGTAAGAGCTCAGTCCCACCAGATTGTTCCCACTTCACATGGCAACCACCCAAGTCCAGTTTGTCACCTGTGCTGCTGACCAACCACCTAGATACAGGGGTTTCCTGCTACCCCTCCTCACTTTGAAGATTTGCTAGAACAACCCACAGAACTCAGGACAGCATTTTGCTTAGGAGGTTGTCAGTTTATTATGGAAGGACACAGCTCAGGAACAGCCAGGCGGAACACACGCATAAGCAAGGTAGAACATCTCCCATCAAGCCACCTTGATGACCTCCGTGTGGTCACCAAAATGCAAGCTCTCCAAGCCCCATTCTTCTGGGTTTTTATGGAGGTCTCATTACCTAGGCATGATTGATTGATTTAATAATTAATGATTAATAATGACCATTAATCACCAGTAATTAAGTCAATCTCCAGTCCCTTTCCCCTTCCTGTATGTTAGGGGGATATGGGGATGAAAATTCCAACCCTCTAATCATATGGTTGGTTCCCTTGGCAACCAGCTCCCCTCCTGAGGCTGTCCAGAAGTCACCAGCCACCAGTCATCTCATTAGAATAAAAAGACTCTCATCATTTCAGAAATTCTGAGAATTTTAAAAGCTACATGCCAGGAAAAGGTAGGCACCAAACGTACATTTCTGATATATATCACATCTGGGTTCAGAGCCCAGGCTCTGCCAACTTCTAGGCACAGGACCACACAGATGTGGAGCTTTGTCTCTCTGAGCCCTTTGCCCAGTTGTCATATTTCATCAATGATGTACATAAAGGATTCTGTGTGCTGTCAACAGCAGTAGACACACTGCAGACTGATGACAAGTGGGGACCCTCCTTTTCTTCCTCCCCTTTGCATATCCTACAGCCCTTATGGGGAGCAGGGCTGCCGGGCTCACACTGGGTATCAGAAGAGGCAGAGGTGATGACTCTCAGGTGTGCATCCCTGCTGTCTTCCACTCAGAAGTGGGATGACCATGACCCAGGCTTCTCCGCACCTTGTGAAACAGGGTATTACAAATGCCAACTCACAGGGTTAATGGACGAATGCATGTAAATACTTGATGATGACAGGCACATCAGTGCCCAGTAAACTTCAGGTAATGCTCTGGTCATCACCTCTACAATCACAGGGAGTCTGGTCTAGTGGATTATGCAAAGTGCATGTGCTCTCCCTTCTGCCAGCATCCCTGATAAGAGTAACAGTGCCTTGCAGCCTAGGTACCCTGGATCCCAGCCGCAGCAGAGAGCATAAACTTTGGCAGAGCAAAGAAAGGGTGTGGGCCTGTTGGAGGGGAAGCAGCTGCTGGCCATAGATGTGGAATCTTACCCCGGTGCTTGGCAGAGGACCATCTGGGCCACACTACTCCCAAGGAGCTCCTGGTCTAGCAATCCTGGAGAGGGACAGGCATCCTTTTGGGTTTCAGAGTGGGGGTGAAGAATCTCTAGGGAGGCTCAGGAGTTCTGAAACTACATGTTCCATGGGGTCCTTTTTTTTCTAAAATAAGAGAATAAAGTTCTATCAATCTCAATCAGCTCAGATGCCCAGAGGTAGTAAGCAAGGTTGGTAGGAGGAAGAGGTTTAAAAAGTCAGAAACAATTGTTCTAGAGAGACCTAGCACCCAGCACCCTCACTGTCTACAAGCCAGTACAGTTCAATGTCTGCCAGACAGTGGCTTAGATCTGAGCTCCCTCAATCCCATACTTATACACGGTACTTATGTTCTTCTTTTTTTCCTCACTCTCTCTGTCCTTCCTGTCCTCCCTTTTCTCTTCTCTTCATACAACAGACTCCTGCTGATTAGACAAACGTTTTTGTTTCCCTGAATTTGTGCAAAATTTTAACTTATTCTTTCCATAAATTTTTTTTATTTTATCATTTTTACATTTACTCACATGTGTATACATTGTTTGGGCCACCTCCCCCTGCCCCTCCCCATATTTTTTGAATGAATGAATAAATGAATCAGGGAGTAAATGAATAAATGTGTCTTCAGGGCCTTGAGCTGGGGGCAAGATCACCTAGTAAGCCCATCTTTCCAATAGTAATGTTTGGTTCACAGCCCCAGGGAAGAGGAGAGACTTCTGCAAATTTCCATAGCTGTGTCAGTTGCTCTCACTAGTCCTGCCCTGGCCCTCTGCCTAACCCTGTCTCTCCTTCTCTCTCCTCACTGCGTGGCCTCTGCTCTTGCCAAGTAGCAACCTCACCCTCCTGTGTCTTTGAGGCCTCTCTTATTTTCTGGCAACTGGCTGTCCATTGGCACTTGACAAAATTCTCTCCTTTCAAAAGCCAGCATTGGACTGGGAATGTGGCTCAAGAAGTAAAAGTGCCTGCCTAACACGTATAGGCCTTGAGTTTAAATCCAAGAACTGCCAAAATAAAAATAAAAATAATAAAATGTAAGCAAATAAAAGCCCAGCATTTAAAAAATAACTTTAAGCTTTAATTTTGCTTAAATTTATTTTGAACTGATAAATGAAAACATAAAACTTATTTGGATTCATAGGGTTCTAGAAGATGTGTCAATATATGTAGATATTGTATAATGTTTAAATCAGATTAGTCATGCCTATCCCTCAAACACTTATCATTTGTTCATGGTGAGAACATTCACAGAACCTCTTGCTCATATCTAACTATAGCTTAGTACAAACCGAACAGCCTCTCCTCCTCCCTCCCCGCCCCCTCCTCCCCCAGCCTCTGGTAAATCACCATCCTACTCCCAACTTCTGTGAGATCAGCTCTTTATACTCCATGAGTAAGGTCACGTGGTACTTGTCTTTCTGTGCCTGGCTATTTCCCTTAACATAAGGTCCTCCAGTTCCATCCATGTTGTTGCAAAGGACAGCATTTTATTCTCTTTATGACTGAATAGTACTCCATTGTATATACACACCACGTTTTCTTTATCCACTCATCAGCCAATAGACATTTCGGCTGTTTCCATTTCTTGGCTAGAGTGAACAGTGCTGCAGTAAACATGGGAGCGCACAAGTCTCTTCAACAGACTGATTTCCTTCCTTTGGATATGTACCCATAGTGGGAATGCTGGATCATATGATATTTCTATTTTTTAAGGAATCTCCATACTATATTCCATAATGCCTGCACTAATTTACATTGTCACTAATGGTGAGCAAATGTTCCCTGTTCTCCACACCCTCAAGCATTTGCCATCTTTTGTCTTTTTGACAGCAGCCATTCTTCCTGGGGTGAGGTGACAGCTCACTGTGATTGTCATTTGCATTTCAGTGATCACTAGTGATTTGGAGCATTTTTCATATGCCCATTGGCAATTATAATGTCTTCTTTCAAGATCTAGCATTTTCAAGGAAGCTTTTTTCCAATCTCTACAGCTGAAAGTGCTTCTCTCCTGCCTGTAACTCTCATGCACCATTTGCTAGGGGTGACCGATTCACCCCATTCTTATTCCTTTCTCTTGCCTTACTCAGTGCAGAAGCCCTTTGAAAGTTAAAACTACATTTCACACATTTTTCCACTCTCAACATGGGGTCTAATAGAGTGCCCTACCAATAATAGAAACTTTATGTATGTTTATTAAAAGAATGCCCCATAGTCACCTTTCCTAATGAACTAAATTTTGAGCTACAGTGGCGGTGGCCATTTGATGATACTGTTTTTTGTTCTTTGTTCACTTGTTCCTTCATTTGTGTATCTAATTATCCTAATACAGTCAAGCAATGTACTAGCCATTCGATATGAAGATCAAGGAGGCACATTCTGAATGAAGAAAGAGAGACATTTCGAAAAGAATGACAGGTGGCTCTGGGATGTGCCATCACATCTCACAATAATTGTGCCTCATCATGCAAACAGAGACCAGTTTGGTTTGCAGAATAATGGGTGGCATAACATCTCAAACATAACTCAAAGGGATAAGGTTTCTCAACAGGTTTTTCTGAGCTAAACTTCTCCTGATCCTGATATTCTCAAAAGTTCTATGTAGTTAGTTTCCACCTTCACATGTGAGAAGTGGCAGAGGGTAGATTTTTGAGGGGTTTGTCCTCAGAGTCTTACCAGGGATTTCAGGGGGCTTTGGCCTGCTTCTCTATATAGCTCTTGCCAGGAGCATTTGCATGTACCTCTGGGCCAGGGATTTCCCAATCACTAGGCCTAGAAATGGTACTCAGAGTCATGGCTAGCCTCCCCAGCATCAGAGGCCCAGGCCAACACCAAAGCCTTTGCAAGTATAGAAGGCAAAGAACACATAAGTGAATGTTTGCTGGATATTACAGTGGTAAAAGGTATTTGATATCAGGAGAGAGACAAAGAGACAAGAAAGCAAGCTAAGTTCATAGATGTGAGAGAAGAGCTTCCTCCACAGTTCCATTGAGCCTCATCCACAAGGCAACAGAGATGCGGAACACAGCAGAGGTGCCTCTGTGGAGAGGCTCAGCTGTCTGAAAGGGCAGGGTGTGTTTGTGATCTTGTGTTGAATGACTTGGGATATCTGAGTCTGGAAAGGCTGAATGGAAATAGGTTATGACCTTCATGCTATGCAGGAAGACTATGGGTTTTAAGTCCGACTCCTTCTAGACATTTGGCTCTGCCCTGACTAGCCTCACCCAATCACTGCCTTTTTGGTATCTTGCACTCTTTCCCCATCCGCCATTCGCTACACCACCAGGACTTCAGGTTCTCCTTTCTGCTCCACAGCTTTAGAGTTCCAGAATGTCAACTGGCAGGTGGCTGCCAACCGGCATGCACATCACACAGACAAGTTCTCCAGCAAGGAGCTCATCGTGCGGAGAGGCCAATCCTTCAATATCTTAATAGTCTGTAACCGAAGACTTCAATCTGGAGAACGTCTGGACATCATAGTCTCTACAGGTATCTACTCACTCACTGCGCGTGCACACGCGCGCGCGCGCACACAGACACATACACACACACACACACACATGCACACCACACCCAAGTAGTGCAGGCTGCACATCCAAAGGGGAATGGTAACCACACTGGGCTCTATGCAGCTCTGCCACTCATTCAGGGTAACCATGGGCAGGTGACTGCCATTTCTGAGCTTAACAGTTGTCGTCTTCAAATCAAGAAGGATGTGGTCTGCATGGTCTCTCCAGTTACTTCCAGGACTGTAATGGTGTTTCATTGGATGAAGTCCCCCAGGAGCCTCTGCGATTGTATTGGAACCTGCTCTGTCCTCATGTTCTGACCAGCATTCTGGTTTCCTTCATCCTCTTTTTTGACAGGGCCTTACCCCTCAGAGTCAGCCAGGACAAAGGCTACGTTTCCAGTCTCTAGTGAGACAAGTAGAGGTGGCTGGAATGCAGTGCTCAGTGCCAATAATGACAATGTGTTGACCATCGCCATCGTCAGTCCTGTCAATGCACCCATAGGATGGTACACCATGGACATTCAGATCTCCTCCAATGGCAGTGTCTCCTCTGCGAAACTTGGGAAGTTCATACTGCTCTTTAACCCCTGGTTGCAAAGTAAGTCTCTAAGCCCATGCTCCCAGCCCTCATCTAAGCAAGGAGCAAAGAAAAGAGATGGGGGGAGGGAGCTCTTCACCAGCTCAGGTTTGACTAGGAACAGTTTTTGGGCTGTGGAAAGAGAGAAGTTAGAGATCAAAACCTCTGCCACTTAACCAGCTGATCCTCAAAAATCTTCCCTATCAAGTGGACATTTGCTATTTCCTCTGGGGTTTCTTAAGGGGCTCACGTGAGTTCTTACCCAGCACAACTGCATAGCACCTTGTCAGTTATAAGTGACAATGACTGCAGTACAAGTCTACTGCATGTCAATGGCTTCCTGCCTAAAGGAACAAATGTTGATCATCCTTGGGTCTCATTTTTAGACCTTCGGATCAGCCCAGCTTCTTTTTCTATAGCTCCCACAATGACAGCAGCAAGTATTACAGATCAAGACTTCATTCCTTGGGGGAGGTTGGGGGACAGACCAAAAGTTGCGCTTGCTCCAACTCCCACACCAGTCCTCAGGAGTTGGAAGACTGACCTCTTTGGTCCTGTGTGGGATTCTAGTCCCTGATATCTGCTTTTTGTGTCAAACAGCGGATGATGTCTTTATGAGTAACCAGGCTGAGAGACAAGAGTATGTTGAGGAAGATTCTGGAATCATCTACGTGGGCAGCACAAATCGAATTAGCATGGTTGGCTGGAACTTTGGACAGGTAAAAGGGCCATAGGAGGCCAAGAGTAATGCTCCTGTTACACAAGAAGTTCGATGGCTTGCCCCACAGATCATCCTCACATCTGTCCATCCATTCATTCATTTATTCATTCAGAAAACACATTGACCACCTACTGTGTGCCAGACCCCAAGTTACACAGTAAGTCTGCAGGAGATGAACAAGATCTCCTGCTTTGAGGGGGGGTCACAATCTAGTGGGCAAGACAGATACATACAGCTTAATCAATGCAATGAAGTATTACAGTAACCAGGGTACACAAATAAGAGGAGAGACCCTCAAGATTGTAGATAAAATGCCCTTGCTGTAAGCACTTGACCTTTCAAAGCCGCAGCCTCTTTGTCCTACATCACCATCGGAATTCAGAGAGTTCCCAGGTTTGCTCAGCTTAGAAAATGTTCAGGGATGCCTCTCCATCTTTTTTTTTTTCCCCAGAAGATAAGTAAACGCATTAGAATGAAGTCCAGGATACCTGGGATATCCAGGAGTGGACAGGCAGGTGAATGCTCTGCCTATCCCAAGTCCCCATTCTGTAGTCAAACAGAGCAAGTTGGTTCTTTCTTTTCTATGTTGGGTTTATGTGTCAAATATCATTAGAAAAAAGAAAGGGAAGAGGGAGGGTAAAGACATAGAGTACACTTAGGGCTATTTTTGGTGGTGCGACTTGAGAAAGCCTCTTAGGAAGTTGCTTTTGATCTAGAACCTAGAAGGAGGCAAGGGAGTCTGCCAGAAATCTTGGGGAAGAGCATTCTGGGTAGGAGGAAAAGCAAATGCAAAGACCTAAGGCACAAGGAGCTAGTGTGAAAAATTATTACTTACCATAAGTCATTTTGTGAAAATGGCTTCAGATCTATCTTCTAGAGTCATTTTATCTATATAACTAGTTTCCCAGGAGCATGCTTAAGATCACAGCCAGAACTAGAAGGAAACTGAGATGATCTTGACCTGGTCCCTCATTCTACAGATAGGGAAATCAAGGCCAGACAGCCTAAGCAACTTTCTCCTGAGTCTGTGGCAGCCAGGGGTAGATGGCTCCATGCTCCCTTCTGCTCACACTAGGGGAGTGGCAGTCTACAGGGTGTATGGGCAGTGACAGCTCCAGGCAAAAGACTGGGCACAGTGGCTATGTCTCAGCAGTTCTCAGTCCTAGAGGCCACCAAGTGAAAGGGCTTGGGGAGGTCCTGTGGGTCTCACCACTGTGGCCCCTGTTCCCTTAATTACCTGACATTACCTGTCATTTCTTTCATCGTAACATTCAATCCCATTCTGAACAGTTTGAAGAAGACATTCTGAACATCAGCCTCTCCATCTTGGATAAGAGTCTCAATTTCCGCCGTGACCCTGCTACTGATGTGGCCAACAGAAACGACCCCAAATATGTTGGCCGGGTGCTGAGTGCCATGGTGAGTAACAGCAAAAGGGTGGTGAGCACCAGCTCTGGGTTAGGCATGCACTTAGGTCATCCTGTGCAGTCGTTGGCTATGACCATCCCAGTTTCACCAACATAGATCATGAGAATTTTCAAGGGCTTCCCTGAGATACATGGTGGAACAGTGGCAGGCAGAGGCAGAATTGGACCCGGGTCTGGCTGGCTCCAAAGCGCTTTCTCCTGCATGGGGAAGCCTGAGTCAGATGAGATAGGAACTTGCCCTTTGGGTGTCTGCCAGGGACAGGATGGGAGGAGGATGCAAAGCTAAGCCTCTGCTCCCTCAGGGGGGCCTCGTGGGAAGAGAGGTGCATCTCCTAGGGAGCCTGAAGCATTAGCCTCCTTTGCTGTAGTGCAGCTGCTCCACTGCATGGAAAGTCCCAAGAGAAAAGCAGATGCATCACTCGTTATCTAGATGGGGAAAGAAGCTCCAAGAGCTAATGCAACTGATTCACAGTAAACAGCCTGTTTATTGTGCAAACCACAGCAAAACCTCATGGTACCAACTCAGAGCCTCTGTCCATTCACCTGGACCTCCACACACAAGACCTCCTGTCCCACCACAGCGCGCACACGCACGCTAGATTCCATAAGGAATCTATGGTTCTGCACTTGATGTATAAAGAATGCCTCCATCAAAAAGTGACTGAAGGGGCTAGCCGAGCAGCTCAATCAGTAAGAGTGCCTGCCTAACAAGCATTAGGCCCTGAGTTCTAACCCCAGTGCTGCCAAAACAAAACAAAACAAAAAGTAACCAAAGGATCAGCCTGCTCAAAGTTACAAGTTAAAAAGCTAAAAGTCAAAGTGAGTTCCTACATTTTAATTCTTTTTTTTTTCATTTTTCTTTTATTATTCATATGTGCATACAAGGATTGGTTCATTTCTCCCCACTGCCCCCACCCCCTCCTTTACCACCCACTCCGCCCCCTCCCTCTCCCCCCCCAATACCCAGCAGAAACTATTTTGCCCTTATTTCTAATCTTGTTGCCTACATTTTAATTCTTGAACTAAACAGTTACCCAGAAGTATAGCTTCTTTTAATTTTGGTTCATGATTCAAGCATATCTTGGGTCTTTTAACTTTTTCTTTTTTCTGATGCTACAGATTGAACCCAGGGCTTCACACATGTTAGACAAGTGCTCTACCACTTGAGTTATGCCCCCAATCCTTTGGCTTTTGTTTTGTTTTGGAGATAAGAGTCTCACTATCCTTGCCGAGACTGACCTTGAACTAATGATCCTCCCGCCTCTGCCTCCCAAGTTGCTGAGATTACAGCTATGTACCACCATGCCTGAACTTCGGGTTTTGTTTTTTTTAACTTTTAACATGGGTAATTTCCAAGTGAACAATCTAGTTACTTGATGAGAAATGTGAACAACCTTTTGACTGCAGGTGAATACGTGAGGTTCATCTGGGGGGCTTCTTAGGCAAGTTGAGCCTGAAACCCCACCTTGTAGGACGTGATGGAGCAGCCTCAGAGAACTTAGGGGACCTGTGATCAGTGAGGACTAGAAGAGCTCAGAAAAGGGACAGAGAGGAAGGCCTGGAAGAGAGAGCATTAAAGTGAGGCAGAGGTCAAATAAATGTGGAGCTCAGGGCCACTTGGGAAACTGAGCTTCCACTACCCCCTACCCCTGGCCCCGCCCCCCAGTGGGTGAGGCCAGCCGACTGCTGCTGACTCACTCAGCCTGGGGCCAACCCACTCCATCTTGGAGCCTCTGCTGCACCTCTCTGATGCTCTCTCCAGACCTCCCTGCTGGGCTGGGCCAGGAGCTAATTAGGGCCTGTGCAGGGCTTTGAAATGCTCAGCTTTCAGCCAGAGATGACTCTGCTGATTACTGCTTTGGTGGCTGGAGCATCTGTGACTCAGGAGATGGGGAGGGGTTGCACAGCTTCCATCTCAGATGAGGCCCCAACTTGCTTGATTCTGAAATGACAGCTCACGTCCTCCCAGAATGGGCACAGAACTCACCACCAAGCTAAGAGTCCAAGGAAGGCTGGGCCCAGCCTTTCCTGGGCCAGGATCCTTCTGTGTCCAGACTGTCCACTGTCCTAGGACTCACCATTATTAGATGCTCCAAAGAGACAGAGTGGAATTCACAGACAGGTCCAAGCCTCTCCTTATACAGTTGGGGTGGATGACAAAGTTTCATAGACGGAGAACTTGACTGATAGAAGGCACCTGAAAGTACATTTGGCTTTCACTTTCCCTGTAACACAAGGTGAAGACATAAGGCCCAGAGAGGATAATTAACTTGCTCATGATCACCAAGTGACAAGGTGGCCCTTATAACCTGGGTTTCTCCTTTCTTGTTTAACTTTTTTTGTGTGCTGCTCAATGATCTTAGAGCCTCACACATGATAGACAAGCGCTCTACTATTGAGCTATATTCACAGCTCTCTCTTAATTATTAAGGAAAAGTTTAGAACTACACTTCTTTTTTAGAAAAGAAGTGTAAGTTCCTATGAACCCATCATCACCTTCAGCAATTGCCCACTCAAGACTGGTCTCATTTCACGTCTGACCCCTCCTCCAAGGTTATTTGATAAATCTCAGATTTTACACACTTTGACATCATTTCACCCATACATATTTCCACATGTGTCTCTAAAACAGTAGAGCTCAGCTCTCCTGAGTCCCAATTCTGTGTTCTCTCCATGCTGCATCATGGTTGTGATCCTTATGCAAGAACTATCCCTTAAGTTGAATGAATGAAAAGCAATAGTCCACCTTTATTCTTTCCAAGAAGAAGTTAGCTACTAAAGTTCCAAAGTGATCTTTTTAGAAGACCAGTATACCAAAAAAAAATTTCAAACCATGCAGACAGACATCAAACAGTTTCAAACAAACATCAGTGCAGACAGACATCAGTGGTAACCCCCCAGTTCTTTCTTGCAAGAAGTCCTCTGCCAGCTGGACCTCCGACTCTGCCTTGCCACTGACAAGCTGTGGTATCTCTTTATTCCATGTCAGTCTGCAGTACAGGATTGATGTATGGATCAAGGCCAATCAAACATGGCCCATTAGGCAAAGCACCTCTAAACTCATAAACCACTCAATACACCTAAGGGATTGTCATTACAACTGTCATCACAGACAGTTCACTCAAGGGTCCGTGATTTCCTCTCTCATCACCCTACCTTGTCCTCTAAATTCTGCAAGTCACTCTTATAGCAAAAGCACGGTACTGACTTATTTTGGGGTGGGGGGGTGTTTTCTGCCCAGATCAATAGCAATGATGACAACGGTGTGCTTGCTGGGAATTGGAGCGGCAGTTACACAGGTGGCCGCGACCCAAGGAACTGGAATGGCAGTGTGGAAATCCTCAAGGAGTGGAAAAAAAGTGGCTTCAGGCCAGTCCGATATGGGCAGTGCTGGGTCTTTGCTGGGGCCCTCAACACAGGTACCTTGGGTGTGAGGTACCTTTGCTGGGTTGGTGGGCAGTAATGGGATATGCCGGGGCATTGCCCCTGCCACAGTCCGAGTCCTCACACTGATCTTGACTTGCAGTGCTGCGGTCCTTGGGAATTCCCTCTCGGGTGATCACTAACTTCAACTCAGCTCATGACACAGATAGAAACCTCAGTGTGGATGTGTACTATGACGCCATGGGAAACCCTCTGGACAAAGGCAGTGATAGCATATGGTAAGTGCCTAACCCTTTCCCTGGACTCTGAATGCCAAGTTTGAGCAGTCTTTTGTTCTCACCTTCTCCTGGGACCCAGCTCCACCCTGGAGTTGGGAGGGAAGTAACAAGCCAGCCAGCACATGACTTAGAATGGAAATCCTGACCTCGCTAATTATATATGGAGCAAAACACTTGTTCTCCGTGCTCTGAAAAATCTGAGGTCTGTTCTATCTTGCTGCCCTCAGAAGGGTCTGATAACCAGTGAAGGACAGGATCATGGGTTTATCTACCCTGGGTTTATAGGATCCATTACACCTGATGATAAAAGTTGAAGCCATTGATTTTCCAGTAAGAAATGTAAATTTATCTCATTTCAGGCAACCCATATGACATAAGGGTATAAGATAAGCAACACATAATCTCCTAACATATACATATACATATGTTTATGTTCCTTGATTGACAGAATGAAAAGTTATATTTATTCTGAATTCCAGATGAAAAAATATTTTTATTGGGCATTATATATTGCTAACCATAAGTATGAGATGAGCACATGTATCTATATGTACACACATGTAGACATAATTTATAATAGATGCAAAGTAGAATTAAGTTATATAAAACTTACAGACCTACAACTACATAGACAGTGTGGATGTGGATATATATATATATATATATATATATATATATTCAAAAATTTTATTATTACAACTATTTAAGGTAATACTATATGCTAGGTTATAACCAGATGCAGTTGAAAATGTCTATATCTATATTTGCACATAGGTTTCTACATGTCTATCTCTACAACCTACCACATACACATATTACTAACCCATTGTTATATCCATCTCAAAGAATGCACACATACATAATTTATCAGAAGCATATATGTGGCTATGTGATCTTATAGCAAATGACATCTTATTTTCAAATGTCCAATCTTGAGATAGTCTATGTAAAATAATCTTTATTATATTTATTATTCCCAGAATAAGAAGGCCCAACTTTTCTAAAATGTGCTTAGTGTAACTAACAGAATAAAGTAAAAGAAAAATAAAAATTAATGGTACAATTAATCTACACTAATAAAAAAAAGAGAAAAATGAGAAAAATTAATGGAAAAAGCTGTTAACACAAATAAACAACTCCATTGCCCTCCTCCCCCGCAGGAAAGAGAGTTTACGTAATTCACCTAATCTCATGGATCACAGAGTTGCACAGGGGAGACAAAGCTTATTTAGGGTTTTCTTTCCCACTCTGCATAAACCCAGCTTTCTTTCTAATGACATCGCTACTGGTGACAAAATTTTATGCTCCAGCGTCCCACTAATGAGTGTCTTTTCTTCTCCCTGGCTTTTCCTTTTGTTGTTATATCCAATATTCCATTGCAATCATTTGGGACAATGTTATTCCTGGCCTTGGTTTTCTCCTAAAAAGCTGCTGTTGCAGGCATGCTCAGACAGAGACTGAGAGGGCACCAAAGCTTTTAGAAAGCAAGTTTATTAAGCAAACCAGTAGCAACTCAGCTGTCCAAAGGCTGAACCCTGAGAACAAAGGGGGCTTTCCCTATATGCCATTTAGAGCTGGTTACAGAAATGGTGTGGGGGAATACAGCCTGTCCCATACATAATCACATGTTATTTCATTGGCCACTTTAACCTCTGGGGCAGAGTGACCCTTCTTTGGTCTCCAGGTTACATTTCCCAACTCCAGTGTTTCTTTGTTTCACTGTAACACTCATTATCTCCCTTCCTGCCACACTGCTGATTGGTGGACCAAGATTATTGATCTTGTAGGGATGTTCCCTTTGGTTTAACACTTCTGTGATGATCCTACATGCTAAGAACTACAGGGAGACCAGAAGGCTTCAGACTCATTCCCTCTAATGAAGGCCTTTATGGTCCTGGTAGGGAGCAGTAATAGAGGCTACTTAGCAACACAACACAGTGTGTGATATGCCAGGTAAGTGACTAAGACTAAGCAGTGTGGGAGCCTGGGAAGGGAATACAGAAAGGAGGTATCCATGAAACGTGGGGGCAGGGCTTTAAAGTTGAGTCTGGAATTACAGTCCAGGTGTCTTGGTTACTGGCTCATGCTACCACTCCATATCAGCTTAATAATTCATCCCAAACTTAATCATATTTGAGGCAAGTAGGCACCAAGGGAGACATACCTGGGCAGGTTCCACTGTCATTTCTGTTGGCCTCATGGAAGGAGGCCAAACCTAGAACCTCTGATTGTTCCTGTGGGTCCTGCCACCCTTGCTCTCCCTCTCTTTTCTGATTCCTTCTCAGAAAACAATGGAGCTAATAGCTGCTCCCCATCCATTCCCTGCCAGCTGTGGCTGGGGAGCCAGCCCTGGATGATGAGGACAGGGAGTCCTGAGCCCTGGTTCCAGCCCTACTAATTTCTGTGGGACTTGTGTAAGTCACCTCATCCTTCTGGTCCCAAGTTGTTCCACTGGTGAAACCTAATGGCTGGCCTAGGACGCAATAATCATTTAAGTCTCTTACCAACTTGGCTACTTTTATTCTCTTCAGTTCCATCCCACCTCACTCATTGTATGAGAGGTGCTCCCCCGCCAAAGGAACCATTCCTCTTCTACATTAAATCCACACAGGGAGAGCTGAACCAAGAGTCACTTTCTTCCCAGAGTGAAATTACTAACCTGTTGTAAGGACAGTCTGGGTTTGGATAGAAAACCTTCAGTATGAATTTTTGTCTGTTATAAATGCTGGAAGCTTTAGAATCTTATCGAAATTTGCCAAAAGTAATAGAAGGTGAGGGTCAAGCAAGGTTTTGCATCAGAAAATGCTTAGCAATAATAACAGCAGCAATGAATAATTTGCTGAGCCATTGCTGTGTGCCAGGCAATATTCTAAGTTCTTACTTTTCTTTTTTTTGCGGCACTGGTGTTTGAACTCAGGGCCTCACACTTGCTAGGCAGGCACTCTTACTTCTTGAGCCACTCCCTCAGCCCTTTTTTGTGATGGGTATTTTTTAAATAGGGTCTCACAAACTGTCTGGACTGACTTCAAACCACAATCTTCCTGATCTCGGCCTCCTGAAGTAGCTAGGATTAAAGGTGTGAGCCACCAACGCCCGACTTCTTACATGTATTCTTAACGAACGATGAGGTAGGCACAATTGTTATCATCCCCATCTTACAGATGCGGGAACTGAGACACAGACAGATTAAATAATTTGCCCAAAGGCACATGACTAGCAGATGGTGGAGGCAGGATTCGAACTCAGGCAGGTTGTAAACTATAGAGCATCAGAAAGATGCTGGAGAACATTGTTATTATTCCTGTCTGAGATTTGAAAAATCTGACAGCTCTTAACTAGAGAGTGCCCAGGAAGTTGGCTAAATGCCAACCAACCAGGGTTCTGGTCAGACTGGGTGCTGTCCAACCAATTTTGGTGGAGAAGCTGGGCTCTTTGGTTTACCGTAAGCAGTAAATGTCACTTCTTTGTAAGACTAACGTGTCTCAGGGGCTCCACAAAGAAAAATTACTTTCCCAAAGTCACGTGGTGAATTAGTGACCAAGCTAGGGGTAGAACACAAGTGTGCTTAAATAGAACTCTACCAACCCTAAGGACATTAGGACTGGCAGGGACTTTAGAGAGGAGGCTGCTCATTTTATGATGAGGAAACAAAGACCCAGAGAGAAGTACATCCAGCCCTCTGTATCTGTGGGTTCCACGTCCACATGTTCAACCACCCACAGATGGAAAACATAGGTAGGCTTACCATGCTTCTTCTGTCTGAACATCTGCATACTTTCTTTTCTTGTCATTATTCCCAAAACAATACAATATGACAACTATTTGTATGCCATTTGCACTATATTAGGCATATAAGTCATCTTGGGATGATTTAAATATGCAAAGGTGTGTGTTTGTATATCAAACACTACATCATTTTATTTAAGGGACTTGTGCACTGCAGATTTGGAATCCGAAGGGGTCCTGGCATGGATTCCCTGTGAATACTGAGGGAGAACTGTAACTTCTTGTCTTACGATTGCAGCTAGAGACATTTAGGTTCTGTAAGTATAAGACATTACACAGGTTCCTTAATTTGTTTTTGTACTTAATTTCCCACCTGTAAAATGAAGGGCTAAGTCAGGAACCCTCTGGGACTTCTTCCAGGTCTTTCTTTTGATGATATTCACAGCATCCCGTGGAGTACACTTTTTCTAAGCCATTCCTCTTATGCCACTGTTTTGGCTGAAGAGGTTGTGGGCTCTGGAGCCTCCCTTTCTTCAGAGCAGGAGCTTGGGGGAACTTACTTGAGATACTTCACCAATCCAGTTTCCTCCTTGACTGCTATGAAGGTGGTCTCGGGAGCCTTCTCTCTCACTGAGTAGCAACCAAACTATTCAGAACAGTTTGGTCAAATTGTCTTGATGTTTCTGCCCTGTTTTCTTAATTCATTTAACTTTGTCTTCCAACTTCTACCGTCACAGACCTGACTCTACTTGTAATCTCTTTGCAGAGTTCTGGGGAAGGAGTCAGGTGGGGGTTTCCCAGCTCTGTCAGGGAGGAAGAGCTGTAGACACCCACACCTGGGCTGAGCCTGTGGCTCCTAATGCAAACTTTCCACACACAGCTCTGTCTCTGAATACCTGCCCCATTAACCCTTAACTACTCACACTCACAGTGGGGACACCAAGCCGCGAGAGTACCTGGACACTGGGCGCTGAGAGGAGTCAAGGGCAGGAACCGTGCTAGAGGAGAATACAGCTGCAGGGGATGACTGGCGATCATGAAGCAGAAGTGATGTTATTGAATGATGTGCAAGAGTCAGAGACAGCACAGAGGTCTGGGAGGCACTCAGCATATCAGGAAAGATGTCTTGGCACAGGCAGTGTCTGAACTGTGTTTAGAGTTTACCTGCAGAAGGTGTTGGAAGTGGGGTCTCCTCCTAAGCAGGGTGTCCTAACCCCAGGAATTCAAAGGTGAGCAGAGCTCAGTTGCTGTCTCTAGACTAGTGGTTTAGAAACTCCCAGGGTCACATTGAATCAATGTGAGTGGTGGACATCAGAGAAGCAGGGGTCTGGGACTATTAATAAATGCTTCATATAGGTCTGATGCCAACAGTCTGTCCTCTTCCTGAGCTCCTGTCCTGAGTCCCTCAAGACAGAAACAGAGCCTAAGCCTGGTAGGGGGAGAGAATATGGTGGCAACCAGAAACTCAGAATTGCTATGATGGAGCCCATCCCCCATATGTGTGACCCAAACAGCCTCTTCTACATGAGGGAAGAACCAAGATGTGTCTGTTATCTTCTCTGTCTTAAATTCCCATCTTGCAAATAAGTATTAAAACACAGCTAGTATCCTTAGCAACTTTTAAAAACCAACCCACCCTTCTCGTAGGGTTCATCTGCCACGAACCAAGTGAATGTGAGGCTTGGTTTTCTCACTCTTTCATCCTTGCCTTGTCCCTTTCACCCACCCAAGGTCATTGTCCCATGCTTCCTCTGCCTTCTCTTTAGTGAATTCTAACCCATCTTAAAGGCTTATCCAAAAAGACATTTTTGGGGTCTTCCTGGAGATAATTTTTATTGTGACTTTTCACAATTACAATAATTTTCAAAATGGATAAAGAAGTAAAACTCATCTCTGATCCTATTATTCACATATTTTTGACATTTGATAATTTTCTACACAATTGTTATTAGTTGTTGTGGTTATAGAATTGGGATTATACATTTTGCAAGGTTTGGACATAGAATAGACATCCTACTCTTGTAAATCTGAAAACCAACTACTATATAACTTTTAGTTATAGATTTTTGACTAAATATCATAAGCATTTCCTCTATGTCATTAAATAATCTTCAAAAAATAAGATTATTTTCAATGAAACATTGTGTTTGAGCTATTGTCTCTTTCCTTACTAATAGTTATGGCACTTTTTTCCTTTTTATCCATTCTGTCTGGATTTACTTACTGGGAGACCTTGGACATCACTTAATTTCTCTGTGTCTCAGTTTACAGAATTGTCAAATGGGCATAGTAATTATTTATATTTTGCAGGTTGTTAAGGATTAAATATTTCATATAGGGGCTTGGAGTATAGCTCATTGGTAGAGAGCTTTCCTAGCATGAACAAGATCTTGGATTCAGTCCCCAGCACCAAAGCAAAAACAAAAAACAAAAAACCTAAGGCAGTTAGAACACTCAATTTTCTATGTTAACTCTTGCTATATTAGCCATTATCAATTATATATGCATGTATATGTATATACATAATTTTAAGTCTTCATTTATTTTCTAATTGTAGAAGTAATGAGTAATTCTCATTATAAAAATGAAAACATGAGGAGGGTGTGGCTCAAGTGGTAAAGCCATGCCCTGAGTTCAAACCCCATACCACCACCAAAAAAAAGAAAGAAAAACATTACAGAAATAAATAATGTAAAACTTATTTCATACACACCACATACATAATATACACACCAAACTGTTGATCCTGACTAAGACGATAGAATTATTGAAGACTAACTTTCTCCTATTTTTTTCAGTACCAAGGACTGATCCCAGGGCCTCACACTTGCTAGACCAGCACTCCACCACTGAGCTAAACCCCAAATCTCTCTTTAATTTTTTAAATTGAAAGGATTTATCATGTGTAGATACGTATGTATGTGTGTCTGTGTGTGTTGTATAGACACACACACACACTATTTTGTAACTTGATATTTTAAACTAGTAATTAGTTTTCCATTTTCATTTTATTTTAGAAACTCTGATTGCCTGTTTCTTTCTTTCTGTTTGCTTTTTGTTTTTGTGGGGTGTTTATTTTTGAGACAGGGTAGCCCAGATTGGCCTGGAACATATAATCATCCTTGCCAGCCTCCCCAGTGCTGGGCTTACACCACCACACTCAGCTGTAACTTGATTTTCTTACTTCATAATGTATTTTAAGTATTTCTCCATGTAAGATTTTTGCAATACCCTACATTGAAAAAACTCCAACACAAAAAAGGGCTGATGGAATGGCTCAAGTGGTAGAGCACCTGCCTAGTAAGAGTGAGGTCCTGAATTCAAACTCCAGTACCGAAAAAAAAGATTTTGCTTGTTATTCTTAACAACCACCGAATTACAATTTGACTGTTCCCTTACGGATGTACTTTTCCAGCTTTTACAACAATGCTTCAGTAAACATCTTCACATGTATATGTATGTGCACTCATCTAAGTTTTTCAATAGGAGAAATTCCTAGAAGTGGAGATACTGGCTAAGCGAGTGTGTGAATTTTTCAAAGATTTTTATACTCATTGCCAAATTGCCCTCCACAAAGATCAGACCAATTTAAACTCCCACTGATGGTGCTCAGCCATGGCTGACATCCTCTGCTTTCATCTCTGTCATCTAATAAGTATAATCTATGTTCTTTGTCATTTTAATTTTCTTTTAAAAGTAATGAGGTTAAAACTATTGTCATATATTCAGCAATTATTTACATTTCTTGTGAACACTGCCTGCTCATTGCCCTTTATTGGTGTGTTTTTCTTATGTGTCTTGTTTTTATTAATTTTTAAGTTCTTTATAATACTGAAATAATAAATCTCTAACATATATGTCACACCTATCCTCATTATTGATTTTTTTCTTTTTTCTCTTTCATTTTTAGATTTTTAGATTTTCTGCTCATCCTTCTTCAATGTATTCATTCTTTCCTCTATCATCACTAGTCTACTAAGTCTATCCATTGAACTACTTAATTTCAGATATTGGAGTTTTTGCAGCTAAAGTTTTCCATTTAGTTCGTTTTAAGTATTTTCTATTTCTTTGCCAGGAGTTCCTCTCTTTTTGTTCATTTATGAGCACAGTTCCCTTCATTTCCTTGAGCATAGGTATAATCACTGCTTTAGAGTCCTTGTCTGACAATTCAAACAGCTCCATTATTTAGGGTTCATGTCTGTTGATCATCACACTTTTCTAGCTCTTTGCATGTTGAGTAATTTCGGATGGCACCCGGACTATATTAGATATGTCCCTATTCTTGGATATGCCACTTTGGTGACATCATCTCCAATCTCAGTTTAGTCATTTCATCTTTTGCAGGGCTACTTGTAGTCAGTCCCATACATGCCTGGTTCAGGGGTCACACAGAGTTTTGGGCAGAGTTTATACACAAGTTCAGGATTCCTTTTCCCTGGCTCTTTCTTTTCAGAATATCCCCTCATTCTCTCCAGTACCCTTGTGGACACAGGTTGACCCAGGCTCTATGTCCTGGCTCCTCAGCTCAGGATGACCTGGGCTCTCTGTCTGCATTTTTTCTGCCTCATACTTCCCCCCGACTGTGGCCTGACCTTGCAGCAAAATCACAAAACATACAACTCACTCCATGCTGGAGGCTTCCTCCAAGTTTTTCTCCAAATCTTCCTGCTTTGTTCACTCTTTTCTACTTCTTTTCTCAGAGTTCATTGCTACATGCATAAGGGTCCATCTGCTAGGACTTCAACCCTTCCCTTTTCCTACAGGGTGTTTGTTTGTTGGTTATTGGTACAGTCCGTGGTACTGTGGTTTCAGTGGGAATGGAGAGAAGAAGAGGATAGAATTAGGGATGAAATGAATACACTTTGTCCAATTGTCTGTGCCCGGGGACAGAGGTTTTCAGACGGGGACATAAAGAACACTTCAGGACTGTTCTACATCATTCCCCAGCCAAGAGATTATGTGGCTCTTAGCCAGACCTGTCACTCCTGCTACCACCCCATTCCTTCTTAGCCCACACCAAATAGAGAAATATCCCCAATAGGACCCAGAGAGAAAGCCGTGTGGGTCTGCCTGCTGGGCAGCTGGTCCTAACCTTGACTCGTTCTTCTCCTCAGAAAGGCAGTAGCCCATGGTGGCAAAGCTTTGGCTTTGCAGGTAGACTTGCCTGGGCCTAGTCTTTGCCTCTGCCATCGTTAGCTGCATAATGTCTCTGAGCCTGAGTCCTGACAGGATTTTAGTGACAGGATGCTCACCAAGGCTTAGCACTAGCTGGTCCAGGCTTAACTCACCCGATGAGGATCAGGCACTGATCTGCTGGCCAGCAATGCGGTGTTGAGCTACTCACCTGCCGCATGGCCTTCTTTCTGCAGGAATTTCCACGTCTGGAATGAAGGCTGGTTTGTGCGCACTGACCTGGGCCCCTCGTACAATGGATGGCAGGTTCTGGATGCTACCCCACAGGAGAGGAGCCAAGGTAACCCTCTACCAGTCCTGCTCTGGCTTGACTCCCCACCGTGAGCTCTTGGTTATTTATAGCAGAACAATGGCACAAGGAAGTAACCAAAGTCCTCTCCACCTCTGCAATGCATGATGGGATTAAAACAAAAAAAATGTTTGAAAAATACATTTCACCTCCTTGTTTTGTTCAGCTGGACTGCTATTTAAATGGGTGCCTTCCCTGCACCCACTTTGGCTGCTGCTACTACCGCAGAGGCCCTGACATTTCCAGGTGACCAGAGCCTTTCCTGGCCAATGATGATTTTCTAGCACTATCTCTAGCAGCCATCCCTTCCCGCACAGGAATCTTGTGGCTGCCCATGGCCCTAGGGATTTAGTCCACATTCCCCGGCCTGCACAGGCCTCCAGGATTATGGTGTGCTGGTGTTTCCTCTGTTTCTGTGTGCCCTCCGCTGAGCTGAGCTTCCCTCCAGGCAGGCCTCGCCCCTGCCCCAGGCCTGTGCCACCTCTGCCTTTCCTCCCAACTCTCCCATCAGGACTGGGGTGCCAAGCTTTCTGGGAGTTTTTATTCTTCCTCCTATGACCTTTAGAGTAGCATGTCTTGCTGGTGGAGTGGTTCAGGTGGTAGAGCACCTGCCTTACAAGTGTAAGGCCCTGAGTTCAAACCCCAGTGCCACCAAAAAAAAAATTCTAGAGTAGTATGCCTTGACTGCTACCTTCATTGTGAGTTGTTTCTTTCAAAACTAAAAAGATTTGTAAGGTAATCTGAGCACACAGTTTTTAAAAGTCAAGCAGTTCTAAAAGGACTTGTTATGAAAATTAAGTCTTACCCCATCCCCACTCCCACAACTCCTAGCGCCTCTATACCAGAAGCAAGGCATGTTACTAGACTTAAGAGTGGGGTGGCCTTCCTGATATTTTCTAGCATACTGTTTCCTACAGTTTTCATTGCAGCCCAGAAGTGGTATAAAATCAAGTTAATGGGTTGTGACCATCGTTTTAAGAAATGAAAATGAAATGGAATGGAAAGGAGAATAAACTATCAGGGTGCATTGGACCTAATACGACTAAGAATTGAGCCAGGAGAGCAGTTAGGAACTGGAGGCAAGAGGGTCAGGTATCCAGCTGGGCAAAGTTAGTGAGACTCTATCTCAAAAATAGAGTACAAATAAAAGGACTTGGGAAGTGGCTCGAGTGGTAGAGCACCTGCCTAATAAGCACAGGCCTTTACCTACCCCACCCCCCAAAAAATCTACATATTTTCCTATAAAATTTTTGCTTCAGCATCACATGTAGGTCAGGATGTCAAATGTATTTCTTTCTAGAAATCAAGGTAAAAACAAGTCAGTTACTCTTTGAAACATATGAAAACTTGTGCCTATATCTATTCACTTATTTGCTTATTACACCTTGCTTTCTCTCAGCAGGACACTTTCTGAGTGAAACTCTATCAACTAACTATCTATCTATCTCTATCTTTACATCTACATCTGTCCCTCTGTCCATCTATCACCTAAGTTACCTAGCTGAGTGCTGCAGGATTGAGGTGAAGGTCAGGGTGGTTTGCTTAGAGGAACAAGGCAATAACCTTCTGGAGTAGAGCGATTTGCAGAGGTAGAAAGAGACAGCTGTCTGAGTAGCAGACAGCAAGACTTTCCTCTTTGGGAAACAGAGCAACAGCAGTGGGCAGCTCAGATTAGGCACCCACGGTTTGCACTACTGAGCCAGTCTAGAGGTGGAGTGGGGCCAGGTGCTGTTACAGAATGACAGCAATGGGAGGGTGTCTGCTGAATGCCAGATGAGTCCAGGCTAAAGCAATTTAGCCAAGTAAAAGTAGGGGGGTTGGATGATGGAGAGGCCCCCAGAGAAACAGGCCCCAGGTGGGCTGTTATGGATGGGCCTAACCTTGATCTACCTGCATCCATCCTCTGCATCCCGGCCACCAGGGGTGTTCCAGTGCGGCCCTGCTTCCGTTAACGCAGTCCGAGAGGGGGATGTGGACAAGAATTACGATATGATCTTCATCTTCTCGGAGGTCAATGCCGACCGCATCACCTGGCTCTATGATACCAGGAATGGTACCCAGAAGCAAAATTCCTTGGACACTAGCTCCATTGGCAAATACATCAGCACCAAGGCAGTAGGCAGCAACTCTCGCATGGATGTCACAGACAAGTACAAGTATCCAGAAGGTAAGGAGGGGTGCCAACAGGGTGGCGCCACACAGGGTTCGGTGATGGCTGGACAGCTTTGAGGGTGGAGAGACAAGGCTTCATCCCACACCTTACATCCTCAATTAGTTCTGCCCAAGTGGTAGGATGGTTACCTGGCATCAGACACTCAATTGTCCTGACTGCTTTCAGTGGGACAGAAGCATCCAGGGCAGCTGCATGCCAGGGGTGGTTGGCGGCAAGGCACAGACAGTTATCAGTCCAGCTCATCTCCAGCTGTGTTCCTTTCTCAGTTGCATAACTTGGTGACAGCCCAGTGATTGAACATCATAGGGAGAGACATGGCCCCCATGGGAGAGGTCCCCAAGGGCTTTGGGAGAGATTGCTCCATCAGTCTGCTCCCTAGTCTCCAAGGAACATAGGCAGAAAATGGTATCTGAACAAAGAAATAAACGAAGAAACCCAGAGACTCAGGCTTGTACACTCAAAGCCCACACCAAGAAGCCAGATGAGGTGTTGTTATATGGAAAGGCAAATGCCCAAGTCCCTGAAACCTCCAGCATGCACACCAGTGCTTGTTCCCTGGGGTCACCTTGGAAGGCCAGGTGCTATAAATTACATCCATTGCTCAGAAGTTGCTTTGCAACCAGTGGTGTGGTGTTTCTTAATGGTAATAAGACCACTGCATTTGAAGGTGAAGTGCATTTTTACAAATGGCCTGAAGTAATGCAGCACTTTCTTTAAAAGGCCATAGTCACCCCCTTAATGGAGTCAATAGTTCATTCTCTCTAAAATGCTTGGAAATGGTTGCTTTGGTTTCTTCTGACAGTCAGTTCCCAGGAAGTTAAGAAAAGTGTTCTTGTAAAGTTGCCCACAGCACTCCCTAAAATAAGCCCTAAATCTTTGAGCAACTGCTGGTTTTGAGGTTGACCAGAGTTTACAAGAAAGGAAAGCTGAGTAGAGGAAATGGAGTTTGACTCCAAGGTCAGGAGGATGACCCCTCTGGACACTGGTATTTGTGGACATTTTCAGGCACAACTCATGAGTAATGAGCTTTGTGGCTTCTGTTTGGCCCCCATGTTTGGCCTCCACAGGGTTGAGGGCAGATGACTTCCTCTCAGTCAATAAACTGTGTTGAACCTGTCAATCTTACATTAAAAAATCACAGCCAGATTCTCCAAAAACTAGTCATATTTATTTGGAAGTAACAGAGCATTGCAATGGGAGCATACATGCTACAGTGAGCTATGGGTGGATTCAAAGAGGTTGGGGCACGAGAAGTTTTTAAAAGCAACAATGAGGAGAATTGCATCAGATATTTTGAGACAATAATCTTTGGCCACAATGGTTAATGAGCAGGGTGATGTCAGTCCGAGGTTGAACAGTTGCGGGGCAGATGCTCTTGTAGAGATACTTTGTGCGTGTGTGTAAGGTTGTAGCTGCCTCCTTGAAAGCTCATGCTGCTAGCAAAGTCTTTTGTGATAATTACTAACAGGCGATCTAACAATACATAAGAATCTTTTGTTTATAACCACCCAGATTTTTTGTTAGGGTTGACATAAGTGACTCCATTTTGATTCTGACAACCTTCACAAGCTCCTCCTAAATACCTGATCCAGTCTGGGCCTTGGAGACACAGCACTGTAAATGGGGTCATGGGGGAGACAGATATAGAAACAAGGATTTTCAACAATGTTGTGGTATAGAAATGAGTATAGAGAGCAGGAAACAAATAACCTTGGGCAGAAGGTGAGCTCAAGTCCTACCACTCATAACTGTGCGACATCAGTCAGCTTTCTTATGATTTCTGAACCCCGGTTTCTTCATCTATAAAACAAGAATAGCAATGCCTGTGTTCAGTTGAATTTAAATGCACAAAATGCACACAAAGTGCCAAGTGCAGTGCCTGGCACAGAGTAAAGACTTAATAAATAGCATGGTGGTCTTTGTCTATTTGAACATCTGTAGCCCCCCTGGAATAATGACATCTCATGGCAGTCACCATGGAATTTATGAGCCTAGAAGCATGAGTTTGAATTCCATTTCTCATACCTTGATCCTGTGTCTTGGGGCTCTGGCTGTCCTAACCATCCAAAGCAATGGGGAGGGTCAGGTGTGTGGAGTAGGGAAGAGGAATCCCTGCAGGACTTCTGGCAGGGCCTCAGTCCCTACATGACAGCAGAACAGATCATCTGGCCTGATATTGCCCAGCTCTTGTTACCTAATGATATTAGCTTGTCTTGGAGGGCCTCAGGGAGGAAAAGCTCATAAAAGAGGTTGCTAAGCATTTACGCAATGGCAACACCACAAGGAGAAAACAGCAGCAGGAAGCTTAGTCTTGAGTAAGCCCAGCAGGTGACCTATATAGGCACTGAGGCTCTGAGCCTCATTGTGCAAACACACCTGCTTCAAGTTGGCAGGCACGGAAGGCTCAGGTCCCCATGCAGCCATCAGCCTGGGCGTGGACTTACAACTCGCCTAGAGAATGGAAGTGCACCCAGAGGAACCCAGCCCGCCAGGAGCTCTCAGCTCAGGTAATCTGGCTGCCTTCTTGCAATAGGATGTATGGGAGGAACCTTAGAACAGGGCTCCAGACACCTGGGGGCAGCCCCTCCCACCTCCACATCTAATCCTCAGAATGGCCTCAACAGTGGCTTCTCTAACCAGATGGACTTGGAATATCTTGGCCTCTGAAGTCTCTGCCAGGGTTACACATAGCTCACGGGAAGATAGTTGTGCAGTGCTTATCGTAAGTCATCTAGTACCTTGAAATTTTCAGCAGTTAGTTGGGGAAGCTGAGGGGCCATCTGCTAGCCTGCAGATGTCAATGTCTTTCCTCGGGTTTCCTTGGAGGCCCCACCTCCCTTATGGTAGCTCTGTCTTCAGGCCAAGACAAGCAGCCTTATGTGCACTGTTTAGTCAACCCAGCACAGAGGATTAGAGTTGGTTGTTCATTTCTTAGTGCCCCATGAACCCGTTAAGGGAATGTCACCAGCACTTTCCATAGGCCCTGTATGCCACCACAGTTGGCAGCACTTACAGCCTCTATCTCAGTCAGAAAACCCACCCTTTTATTTAGCCCTTGCATTTTTGTAACCCAAAATCTTTTGTCAATGCAAGCTAGTCATAACTTGGAACTGTACCAGCCACGGGAAGTTCTTGTGAACTGACACAGACAAAATGTCCCTTGTTGACTTTCAAAGTGCCTTTAGAGATGAAGCAAGGGAAGGTAAGGAAGAGTTTTGAAATTTTTTTTTTTAGCAAAGCCAGTTCTAAATCATAACCTTGTTTTTTGTTTATGAATTCAGCCTTACCTTTTACAACCAAGTTTTTGTTAATTTATTTTTAAATGATCTGTTTGTTCTTTAAGTCTCACAAAAGATCTTTCATCAAAAAAGAAAAAGAAAAGAAACCCGAAGCTATGTGGGAGGCAGAAATGGGAGGATCAAGATTTGAGGCCAGCCTAGGCAAAAGTTAGCAAGACCCAATCTCAAAGAACAAGTCAGGTGTGGTGGTACATGCCTCCCGTAATCTCAGCAATTCAGAAGACAGAGGTAGGAAGATTGAAGACCAAAGCTAGTCCCAGGAAAAAGCATAAGACCCTGTTTGAAAAATAAGCTAAAGCTAAAAAGACTCTGTGTGGCTCAAGTGGTGATGGGCTTGCTAACTAGCAAAAGCAAGTCCCTTACTTCAAACTCCAGTACTGCCAAAAAGGAAGGAAGAAGGAAGAAAGGGAGGGAGGGAGAGAGGGAGGGAGAGAGGGAGGGAGGAACGAAGGAACAAATAAATCTAAAGACACAGTGAACGATCAGGCCCCATAGTAGTTTTGTGCAGTTGCTGATCCATCCAGCTTTCCCTGACAATGTAGACCTGATTGGAAAAGGACCAGAGACGAGCTGGCTGGGAGCCTCATGTCAAGGTGACGAGTGGAGACCTGGCAAGGTCAAACACTTGCTGGGAGAAGCATGGTGTCATGGGAATGCAATCAGTGCTAATCCCAGGTCACCCTCTTTGCCTGGGCTCTGTCGTTTGTCTGATTTGCTGCCACATCCCTGAGATGCGCCTGTCTCTTCCCAACACACAGGTTCCAGTGAGGAAAGACGAGTGCACCAGAAGGCTTTGAGCAAACTTAAACCTAATATGTCATTTGGCGCAACATCTGCGAGGAATTTATCGGGAGAGGAAGAGGAGCCCAGCATCTCGGGGAGGTTCAAGGTTACTGGTGTACTGACGGTGGGCAAAGAAGTCAACCTGGCCCTGATACTCAAAAACCTGACCACTGACCGGAAGACAGTGACAGTGAACATGACAGCATGGACCATCGTCTACAATGGCACACTTGTTCACGAGGTGTGGAAGGGCTCTGCCACAATAGCCCTGGACCCTGAAGAAGGTAACTTGGCCTGCAGTTGGTGGGGCTGCACAAATCTAAGGTAACTGATCATCTGTTGGAACTGGAGGGCTCCTGCCGGACTCCAGGTGAGTCAGCAGACTGAGGACCTCGCAGTGGAGGGCCTTGGGTTTTGATGCTCTGGAAGTGGCCGTTCCTGTGAACAGTGCAAATCATGGTGGTGACAACCAGAATCCTTTTACACCCTAGAAGAGGAAGGAAGAAGCTATGACTCATAGTCACAGCACAATGTCCCTTCGAGGTATATGCCACCCTGCACAACTCCAGAGTGTACCCTTCTACACTACCTCGTTTGACCTAAAAAAAAAAAAAAGGGGGGGGTGGGTTTCAGTATCCACATTATACAGGCAGGAAAGAGGCTTGGAGAGATTGGTGACTTGTGTCAGAGATTGTCACAGCTGGTAAGTGGAAATGCAGAGATTAAGTTCCTGATGCTAAATCCAGTGCCACCCCTGTTTGCTGTGCTCCTACATGTGGTTGCGGCCACACCTCCTACACCTGACTCTCACCCCACAACAAATCCCTTTTCGGGCTTGGCACTGGATGCGTTGCAATATACCTTGGGGTCTCCCACAACTGCCAGGGCATGAGTGGCATGGTGGGTTTTCATGGAAGTCTGAGCATTTGGGAATTTGTGACTCCTTGCCCCAGGGAAGCACAGATGGGAAAGGAACAAGGTGGGGTACCGTGGGATTAGAATGCAGGTGTGCCCACGCTGGCAAAATCCTTTGAATGCTTATGAAAAGTTTTGGCTTACAAAGCAGATTAAAGAGGGTGGGGTGACTATTTGTTTCACAAAAGGAATTAATAGAAACTGATTAATTATACAGCCCATCTTGAAAGAATTCAGACTACAGAGAAATTGAGATAAGTTAAACCTGTCAGAAGTAGCATGCCTTAGCACTCTGTCAATATCAGAAAAAATTATGTAGCTATTACTTACCTTTGAAGCTTACCTTTTTTTTTGGGGGGGGGGGCGGGACTGGGGATGGAGCCCAGGGATTCACACATATTAGGCAAGCTCTCTACCACTGAGCTACATCCCTAGCCCAGGAACAACTATTTCTGCAAGCCAAAAACAATCCTTTTTAAATTCTCTGCAAGAGACAGCAGAGTGAAATGGGAAGGGGGTAGGGAGGCAGGTGAAGTGGTCCTGGAGTCATGGTGCTGTCAGATACTTGCTGGGTGACCCTGGGTAAGTCTCCTTACCGCTCTGAGCCTCAGAGTTGGACTGAGAGAGTCCAACCCCTGAGAGGGTTAAACCAGCTGAGGCAAGCCTGTCCCCTCCACATTAGGGACAGCTGCAGTCAATTCCTCCACTGTTCAAAGCACAGGTCGCTTCCTCCTCAGAGTTTCACCCCTGGGCCATCCAGCACAACTGCATGAAAGAGCAATGTCCAAGACCATCAGAGAAGGGAGATGACCCTGTGGCCTTTGGTATCAGAAGAGAGGGTTTGAGGCTAGAGATGTAGCTCAATGAGTAGTATGCACACAGCCCTGGGTTCTATCCCCAGCAATGGAGAGAGAGAGAAAAAAGGCTTTGACACATGGAGAGAAGCTGGTAAGGCAGCTCCATCTGGGGGAACCATACAAGTCAAGTGCATATGTGGAAATGTACCTGTTTTGTGTACAGAACAGTGAGAAGCACTGTTCTTTAAGGGGCAAGTGAGTTGGGCACAGTGATGTTGAGCCAGTTTGAGGGTCTGAACTTTATCCCTAAGGCAGTGAGGAGCCATGGAAGGTTTTATTGTGACACAGAGGAGAAGTGGCATGATTTAGGGGGAAAAAAATGTAGTCTTATAAAGTTTTGCCTCTTGGTATGTGGATGATTTGAAAGCAGAAGAGCCCAGAGGAGTGACAGGAGCTAGAGATGCTGTTGCAATGGAATCCCAGGTTATTAGATGACTGGGAAGGTTCTAGTTCTAGGCATTTATTTAGCCGGTATCCTGGCTTCCCTTCCCAGTTACTACAGTGTTGTCATCCTTATTGTTACTGCCATTAGGCAATCAGTTAATATTCTTCCTCTTTTCTCTCTGCTCCTTACATGGAAACTTGCCCTCCGATGTTTTCCAGGACTAGGGGTAGGGGCAGATAAATTTCAACCCTGAAAGATCACCCTTTTAGTCTGTTTGTCTGGCTGGCTTAGTCCTGGTCTGGAGCTCCCCCAGAATAGAGCCTGGCCCACAGAGGGCTCAGTCAAGCTTGGGGCTACCGATCCTCCTGCTAGCCGGCCTTGACTCTACAGCAGGTTTCAGAGCCCATCTTCACTCCGTCTGTTCCCATTTCTCCTTCCAGAAGTACAACATCCTGTGAAGATCACATATGCCCAGTATGATAAGTACCTGAAGGCAGACAACATGATTCGGACCACAGCGGTATGCAAGGTGACTGATGAGGCTGAGGTGGTAGTGGAGCGGGATGTCATCCTGGACAACCCCACCCTGACCCTGGAGGTAAGAGTGCCAGCCTCCTCCAGTCGGCCTGGCTCCCAAGAACCGCCCCCTCCCCCAAGCCCCCGTGGGCTGCAGCTCTGCCAGCCCACAAAGCAAAGGACTTTCCAGCTGATGGGGCAGAGAACTGGATTCAGCTGCAGCCCAATCTCCAACAAGTGGACAGGCCAAAGGCTCTGTGCAGATGATGTTCTCACTTTCTGTCCGGTGAGACAAATGGGCACATGTATGTGCCTGGCAGCTTCTTTGGCTTCCATTCTAGGCAAGTGTTCTACCACTCAAGCCAAGCTCCCAGCCTGATTTGGCTCCCATTTCAGAGCCCTTGGGAATATCAATGGAGAGGGAGAGGCTAGAGAGACTCTTCTTCAGTCCATTTCACCCACTCACTCAGCTACTGAGCATGTGCTGTTTCTGGATCACACTAGACACCATGCTCAGGAATCACAGAGAGGCACAGGTCGGGGTCCATGGAAAGCTCATGTGTCCTCCTATGGCCACAACCCAGCCACTGTTTGTGGAACAGATCAGATGTGGGCAGGACTCACCTGCATCTCTCCACTCTCTGGAGCCAATGTTGCAAAATCAAGGACTCACAGGAATATTTTCAGGCTCTTGTACCCTGTCATTCACACTGAAGTAAACCAAAGTCCAGAGAGAGTGGAGCAGCTGGTTACTGCACTGCCAAGTCAGGACTAGAACTCAGGCCTGGAACTCCAGTCCATGCCCTTCCCAAGTCAACTCTTGGAATCTCTTGCCAGCAAGAGCATCTTGAAGGTGGTTGAGACAAAAGGCCCCTTCTTTTCTGCTTTCAGAGCTTGCGTCTGCCTACACAATCCACTCCTAGACTCCTTCCCAGGAACCCAGGCATGTGGGGGCTTGCATATCTGCAGAAGGCCCCATGTGACCCCTGTCTCTTCCTCAGTACTAAGCAGGAACACCCATGTGAACTGCAAGCCTGTTCCCCACCCTCTAGTCTTGGGCTCTATTTTCCCACCCCCAGCCCAAGGTGGAAGATGTCAGAGCCAGGTAGCACAGCCCTGAGGGGAAAAGGGCTGGACTAGGACAAGCAGACCGGTGGGCAGAGACGATTACACCTGTGGCCACAGCCCAGCCACTGTTTGTGGAACAGATCAGATGTAGGCAGGACTCATCTGCATCTCTCCTCTCTCTGGAGAGCCTCCAAGTCAGGCTGTCTCTCATCTGCTCTGCCTACCATCTCAGGCCAGTACTGGACTTTTCTTGTCCAAGAAACCATTGCTGGAGGAGCCAGGTAATTGTGGCTGCCCTAACTCTCCCCATCCCTAAGCTGCACCCTAGACAAAGAGGTTCCTGATCTCAGAGGGCAAGGGGACCCAGAGTGACACTCTAATACAGGGTCCAATTCTCCCATGTGGCTGGCCTACAATGTGCCCTCTCACTGTCCTGGTCTGAACTCTGTTTCCCAGTGGGAAGGGTCCCTCCTCAGGGACTAGGAAACCAGTACCTGGCACCAGAGAAAGGCTGCAGTTCCAGTGTTAAGCCATCCAACCAAACGGACCTTGGATCTGGGACCCAGGTTCATCAGCCCTGACACTAAGCAAGCCCCCTTACTGAGTTTCAGTTGCTCTAACTCAGTCATAGGGAAAAGATAATACTTTCCTCCCAGGGGGCCATTCTCTCAGGGAAGACTTTCCTGGCCCCAAAAACTGGTCCCCAGTTCTGCATCCTCAGAACCTTCTGTCCTCTTCCTTCATAGCATTTGTCTCCACTGAAATCATAGCTTTATTTGTGCAATTACTTAATCCCTACCTGACTAAAAAAAATTAGGAGGGCCCATGCTATCCAAGTTCTGACTCCCCTGACACAGTATCTTAGTAGACACCCAATGTTTGTAAAACAGAAACAGCGCCCTCCACAGGTCATGATTGGAATAGAGCTAGTGGCTCTGGGCTGGTGTTCTTCCCTTTGGAGAGGAGAGCTGTCATTGTCAGTCCCTGAATATTCCCTGCCTGGAGACAGCCTCTTCTGCTTCACAAGGTACTTTCAAGAAACTTCCCATTTCTGTTGACAGAATGGATGGGTGGATATCTGTGTCCAGTCCAACTCATGAGCCTAGGAAATGATGCCATCCAGGGATGAAAACATTTTCCCTTAAAATGATCAGCATTTAAATGAAGTTAGTCTTTTCTCATTATATTCCCTATCTACTGGCCTCAAACCTCCTTATCCCATTATCTTTTTGGGTTTTTTGGTTTTTTTTGTTTTGGTTTTTTGTTTTTGACAGTACTGGAGTTTGAACTCAGGGTCTCAAGTTTGCTGGGCAGGTACTTTACCACTTAAGCCAAGCTCCTAGCCCTTTTTTGCTTTATTTTTTGGGTAGGGTCTTGCACTTTTTGCTGGGGCTGACCTTAGTCCTTGATCCTCTCGCCTCATAATTCACCATATCTGGGGTTACATACACGAACCACAATTCCCAGCTTGTTTGTAGAGATGGGAGTCTTGCTAACATTTTGCCCCACCTGGCTTCAAACTAAGATCCTCCTAATCTCTGCCTCTCAAGTAGCTGAATTACAGGCATACACCCTTATGCATAGTCTCATAGGATTGTTACTTTTTTTTTTGGTGGCAATGAGATTTTAACTCAAGTCCTTGTGCTTGGTAAGCAGACACTCTACTACTTGGGCCATGCCTCCAGCATGTCTTTTATTCAACACTTTTACTTTATATCTTTTGGATTTCTACATCATGTCTAATTTATCTTTAATGATACCATAATTCCTTTAGAAAGGAAATCAGAACATGCACAGGCTAGAATAGAAGTGTGCCATTGTGAACTTTCTTGTTGAATCCTTTAAAATGCACCTGATCCTCCTTCTTTCAGGCATTCTCTCTTCTCTATTCAAGCCTCCAGAAAACTGAACCATTCTTGTCTTGATTGAATGAATCAATGAATAGCTCAGCAGGGCACAGGTGCTTAAACTCATGAAGGTGATCTGTATGAAAAGATAGTAATTTGGGTAAAAATCCCATTGTCTTATCTGGCTTTGATTGGCAATTAGCATTGAGGACCTTAGACCTGGAATCAGACATAAAAACTGAATATAGTTCTCAAGAGTGATGACCTTCAAATCCATGACTTGTGGCTCTCATCCTCTCCATGGGCTGCATTTATAGATTCAGGTCCATGGGAGAGGGTAGGAAAGAAAGAAATACATGGAAATCTGAAATAGTAATGAGAGCAATAGGGCACCATTTATTCCAATTGCGTAAGATGGTGCAGCACACTGCAAGTTGTGTCATACATTTAAGCAAGTTCCATGGGAGAAATGACAGTACATATCATCCTTTCTAACATGCTCCAATTTATTCACAAATAATTCACGAATTATTAGAAGGTATTGCAAGGCCTGTCAAAAACAACAAAAACTTTGAAACCAGCTGGGCCCCACTGTTTCCCAGTGTGTGAATTTCCCAAGTTATTGAATCAGACTGAACTTCAGCTTTTTCACTGTAAAACGGTTGCTGTGAGAACTAATGACAAGAAAAACAAAAATCAAACTAACAAAACCAGCAACTACCAGTGACCCTCAAAAGTGGGAGAAATCCATCAGCCATATAGTTTCAATTATTTCCAAACCACCTTTGCTCCTTTCCATGATCTTATGTGATCCCTGCTAGGAGATCACATAAGAGATAATTGTCCGGCTTTATCAGCTCCATCTGCCCAGATTTGAGGCTGATTCTTGGAAGAGGCACAGTGGTTTTTGTCTTTTGCTGTGAAAAGTCCAGTTTCCTTTTCTGACCCCAAACCCTGGCTTCACCTTGTCTGAGCCCTGTATGGTCAGGGTTGGAGCCTTGCCAAGAGCACATCATGACATAAAGGAACATTCTGGACTCCAGAAGTTTAGAAGAAAATCAGTAGATTGGGTGTCTGTCATCAGACAAGAGTGGTCTGGATGGAAGGGACTATGACTCTAAGCCTGGGTCTAAGCAGCCTCTTACCTGTGGTCCCCATCTTCAATACCCATGGGGCCTCCCAGGAAGGGAGGTTCATGTTGTAAGGAAAAAAAACAGGACCAATGAGCAGGAGGTTAAAGAAAATTAATGTTATTAAATTCAGCATGAGAAATTGCCTAACCTTCTGAGGGCTGATAGTGGGACAGGACTGTCCCACAAAACAGACTGTCCCTTCCTGGATGAACAGAGCCGAAGCAATGGTGCTATTGGCCACTGCAAGGTGCCCCGTCTTCCTCTGAGGCTAGGTTTCTCATCCATAGCATGGGGACAGTGATAATGTCCAGGAAGTCCCTGCATGGATGCTGGGAGGCCACCTGGCATTTACAAGGGCTAAATAAATGGCCCTCCCTTCCCACGTCTTCAGTGGCATTTTCCCCATCCCCACATCATCCTGCCCAGCCCTCACCGGGTGCCAGGTCGGTTCTGTCACCCAGCCTCTTGACTCAATGGCCACTCTCCCTGGCAGATTCTGGACCAGGCTCAAGTGCGGAAGCCTGTGAATGTGCAGATGCTTTTCTCCAACCCCTTGGACGAACCAGTGAAGGACTGTGTGCTGATGGTGGAGGGCAGTGGCCTGCTGCGGGGTAACCTCAAGATTGAGTGAGTCTCAGGCCTGAGTGGCCGGTGTGGGGATGGCAGGAGAGGGACAGGAGGTCCTGCCCAGAGCCCCTGGGCAGGCCAGACAGAGTACCCTCTGGCCTGGTGTCTTCATTCTTTGGGAGCTCTTGGAACTCAAGAATCTGCATTTACATTTGGTTGGGAATTCACCAAACTTGAACTCCTGGGAAGTCCTAGTCACCAGAGCTAAGAGCTGCAGCCCCCACTAGAGCAGGAGTTGGGGGTCACAGCCTGGGCCCTGTGGATCTCACATCAGCACTGACCTGTGCCCTTCCCCATCAGGGTACCGTCCCTGCGCCCCAAGGAGAAGTCCCGGGTCCGCTTCGAGATCCTGCCCACTCGCAGTGGCACCAAGCAGCTGCTCGCTGACTTCTCCTGCAACAAGTTTCCTGCAATCAAGGCCATGCTGTCCATCGATGTGGCTGAGTGAAGGGCCCAGTGGCCCCGTCACAAACTTGGGTAACATGGAGCAGGGAGGCCTCGCCTGGGGCGTGAGACCCCTGCCCATGTTGACCAGCCTGGGAAGCCAGCTCTGTCCCCAAGGCTGCAAGACATGGACCTCCAGCAAACTCCCACTCTTCCACCCCCTAGGCTGGGGCCGGGTCCTCCCTGGCCTATGACTTGATCACTTTTGCACATTCCCTGATCGCTCCCACCACAGCTGCCTGCTCTGTGAGCCCGTGACTCTGCATATCCCCAACCATGTTGCGGGATGGACTCTCCAAACACATATTGGGGAGACGCCGGTCTGGACTGTTTGCTGATCCCCAACCTGCAGCTGGGACCTTCCTGCTCCTCCCTCAGGCCTCAATGAAGGGCAGGGAGTGGTTCATCATGGGCCACAGCATTCACTTCCTTACAATTAAAATAAATGTTAAACCAGTGTGATTCCACAGCAGCTGACTCCACCAGACTGCTGCTTCAACTGACGTGGTTGGGGAGAAAGAGGAGCTGGGGTCATGTTGTCCTAAAGAGAGATGAACTTGCCCATGCCTTCTGTGTGCCAGTGTCCATAGGGAGTAGGGTTGTTCTGTGGGGCTCCAGGTGCAAAACTAGGGAGATATTTCAAGCCAATTGAGAAATTTTTCTAATATAAGGTCCAAAATAGATGAGCCTTCCTTGTTATGGTAAGCTCCAAGCCCTCTCATGTGCTGGGGGCCTTCTACATGTGTCAGAGTGAGAAATGACTTCAGAGTCTTTGCTGGAACCCTTTGGCAAAGCCAGCTGCTGCTGGTGGCCCAGTCACTGTTCACACTGGGTTCCTCCCTTTGATGATTGTCCATTTTATGCTGCTATAACAAAATACCTGATACTGGAAAATGTCCAACGAAAGGAAGCTTATTTAACTACCAACTTCAGGGGCTGCAAGTGCAAACAGCATGGCACCAGCTCTGGTGAGGGCTTCATGGCAGATGGCAGGAATATGCTCGAGGGGAACGGTCACAAAGCCAGAGAGTGGGGAGGGACCAGTCCTGCTCTGTTATAAAAATTTGCTCTCATGAGAATTAATTTGAGATCTCATAAGAATGACCTTATTGTCTCCTGAGATCAGTACCTCTCAATGACCTAATGGCCTTCTAAAAGTCCCATCACTCCACTGCCTTAAAAGTCCCACCACCTCTTCACATTGCCACTCTGAGGACCATACATCCAACATATGAGCCCTGGGGGAAAACCTCAATCCATAGCACCTCCTTTGTGCCACGTTTTTCTTGAATCCAGGAGAGAATGTGCCATGTTGGTCAGCCATAGCGTTGCTAACTGGAACCTTCTCTGCCTTTAAACAGGTTCTGATAATTCCCCATTGTCCCTTAAAAAATAAAAAAGAGCAGATCCCCAGATCCCCTAGTTCTCCTGTCACTTGTGCTGCTCAATCCCATTCTGGCCATTCTACTTTATTTTCCAGTTCTGTCTAAGGAGAAACTTCAATGCATGCCTAACTCAAAGCCACTTCCCTATGCTGTGCTCAGGTCACCCCTGTGCTTGTGAAGCAGGCGCTGCCCTCCTCGCCTTCCTCCCTCCTTCCCTCCTCTTTCCTTCTTCCTTCCTTCTTGTTGTTTGATCCTGCAGGCAGGGAGGCAATCATCAGAAAAGTGGTAAAGGTTCACTTTCACTGTGAGTTGACACATGACCACTGATGTCCAATGTGAGCCAGAGTTTAAATGCAGCCTTTCTACATGGCACATTCCCTGACATGGGCAATGTGGCCCTTCGCTCTGGCCCTGGAAGCACAAACCACTACCTGCCCTAGAAAAATGTAGTGGTACATTTGTGACAGCTGGAGCCCAGTTTCCCTTCAGGGGCCCACTGGTCCCACTGATGCCTCCCCCTGCTCCCACCTCCACAGTTCCCCTGGAGAAGGTCAGCATCAGAATCCATGGCCACATTTGCTCCTCATGACAAACTCTCCCAGGAACTGTCCCCAAGCCCTGACTCAGGTGGCTGAGCACAGTGGGGGCCCTGAGTCTCTGCTGCAGAGAGGCAGTTCAGGGATCCATGATCCTTTTGTGTTTTTACTCTCTCTGCAATCTTCTACTGGTGACTTCCACCTGAGGTTTACAATTGCTATCCCAGCTGCAGGCATGATGTCCAACTCTTTCCAATAGGAAGAAAGAAAAAAACCAGTCGGGCATCCTCTTTCTCATCAAAGGAACAGTCTGAGAGTTGACATTTAAAATTATTCATTTCTGAGCCAGGGGCCAGTGGCTCGCTTCTGTAATCCTAGCTACTTGGGAGGCTGATATTAGGTTTGTGGTTCTAGGCTAACCCCAAAGCAAAAAAAAAAAAGGTTGTGAGATCCTATCTCAACAGAAAAAAAAAAAAAGCTGGGCTTGGTGGCTCATACCTGTCATCCCAGCTACATCAGGAAACCTAAAACAGGGGGATGAAAGTCCAGAAGGGCCTAAGCAAAACTCTATCTCAAAAAATAACCAGATATAAACGAATTGGAGGTGTGGCTCGAACAGTAGAGCAAAGCTCAAAGTCCTGAGTTCAACCACACACACACACACACACACACACACACACACACAAGAAAGAAAAAGAAAAAGAAATTATTCACTTACTTCTGCTCACATTCCATTAGGCAGAACTTAGTTATGTGGCCACAGCTAGTTACAAGGGAAGCAGGGAAGTGTGGTCATGAGCTGGGGATCTTTTATACAGCTAATATCCAGAATTTCTATTGCTACAGCAAGGTACATAGCTAGGAGCCTCCACTACCCCATCCTCCCCCATGTGGGCAGTACTGGATGGGGTGTGCAAGAGACCCAGATGAACCAAGGGGTTTTACCTGAGCCAAGAAGGCCAAAGGTAAAATCGAGTCACTCAGATTCAGTTATTCTGTCCAATCTATTCATCAGGTAAGCCCCACCACCTGCCCAGAGCCAGAGAGAAATTGAGAACCTGCATGAGAGAAATTGCTTCCTACAGACACCAAAAGAGGGAAGAGACCTTTTCCCAGGACAGACCCTGCTTCCTTAATCCACTCTGCTCCTTCCAAACCTTGGCCTGCCTTGAGGCTGGCCTGTGGAGCCCTCTGCCCTTTGACATCAGATTGAGCATTTAGAACCAAGCAGCAGTTACCTGGATCCAAGCCTGGTGAAGAGTCAAAATGAGAATCCATTGAGGCAAAAATAGAATGTATCATTTAGGTACTAGGGAATGCCAAGCTGGGATAGAAGTACAAGAGATTTATTGGAGGTGATGCCTAATGAAAAAAAAAATAGTGTAACAAATGTAGAGGATGAACCCTCAGACCATGAATTGGGTCTGATGTGTGTGAAAGGAGAGTCAGAAGGAAGAAGGGCTGGGGAGATGGAGCCATGGTGCAACTCTGGGAAAATCTCACCAGCCTGACAGGGAGCTGTAGTGCCAAGATTTCTCATGGAGAAGCCAACATGGGACAGAATTGGCCATGATTGGTCATGACAAGTGCCACCCTGGAAGATTGTGGCCTCAGCTCCGAAGCTGAGGTCCAGAGTCACTTAGGTGCCCACTGTGGGAGCCCTGCTTTCTGCACCGTGGATTAACAGTTCTTTCTTGAAGGGAGCACAGAGAAGCCCACCTCCATGTCTGACAAAGGGCCCCGAAGCTGGGGTGGAGAGCAGACCTGCTACATCTCTGCACACGGCACCTAGGTGAAGGGTCCACAGACAGTTTGGTGCATCCATGCATGTGTGTGTTGGTGCACCTGCACAGTGTGATTTGTGGGAGCTCCTTGGAGTCTTTGTTTTAGTGTCAGTCTTATTGAGCCCCACCCTGCACATTTGGAGAGGTCACGCAATCCAGCATACAGCTCATCACTGCCTCTTAAGAATGTTAACCATGTGCCAGGCCCAAGCCAAGTGCTTTTTATGCCATATCTCATTGATCCTCCCCACAAACCTGTGCGACTCATGACAATATCCTCCATGTTCCCACTAAGGAAGCTGAGGCACAGAGAAGTTGAGTCATTTACACAGTCACAGAGCTATGAAATGGAGAAACCTGGGTTCAAACCCTCTGTCTACCTTTGGAAACAAAGCCACTATGATAGAGTGTCAGACACTTTTGGTCACTTTCAGTTCTTTCTCCTTCTTCTTTGCCAATCGAACCCTGGTTTCATCTGAGACCCAAGTTAATATGGCCAGACTCAGAGGATGAATTCTGATTGGTCTAAAGCCCAAGCCATCATGATGTCCCTCTTCCTTCACCAGTCATTGCTTTGGAAGTGGACCCAATCTAGCCAAGAAAATCTTTCTTTAGGGAAAGATTTCCTTTCCTGATTAAAAAAAAAAGAAGAAGAAGGCCAAGCATAGTAGTATAGGTCTATAATCCTAGTTACTCAGGTGGCCAGCCCAGGCACAGTTAGCATGAAAAGCAAAAGGACAAAGGACATGGCTCAAATAGAAGAGCACAAAGCCTTGAGTTTAATCCCCAATGGAGATTGAAGTGCCTTGTAGATATTTAATCCTTCCAGCAATCCTTTAAGGAAAGCACAAATATTATTCGCATTTTACAGGTGAGGGAGACTAAGACTGAGGTCCCAAGTTACTTGGTTTCATAAAGGTGGAGCTGAAACTCGTCAACAGGTAGACTGGCCCTAGTGCCTGGTCGGTGTGCTATGCAGTGCTACCTACACAGACTCTTAAAAGGTACCCAGTGGCAAATTCCATCACTGGTTTACAAAGACCTGGGCAGGCAAATCACGCAGAAACTTGAGGAAGTGTGTCTCTGCCCTGCCCAGGCATCCCTGGGTTCGTCTTCACAACCTCATTTCCTGCAACTGCAACATTACTATCTCTCTCATTCCTATTGAGGAGGTATCAACAGCAGGAGATCCAAAAGTCCCTCTTCCCAGAAGCAGCCTCTTCACCTTCCCTGCACTGGCTCTAGGCCACTCCCCTTCCCAACTTTGATCACAATTGCCTTGTGACACCAGCCACAGCAGCTGGACTCAACCTGGAGACTGCCAGCACCAGGGACCCTGCCTTTACATCAATTTTCCTTTCAGTAACCTTCAAGGGTGGACATTATTACACCCCTGTACCAAGAGGAAGATAGAGGCGTGGAGCAAGTTCTCATTCCTGGCTCTTGTACGAGCCTTCCATTACCCTTATGATCACCTGGAGTACTTTACTGCAATTGTTTATCTGTCAATGGCTGCCAATCTAGAGTGGAAACATAAATGAATGTGCATAAAGAAGATCTAGTGAGATCACATTACAATATATGTATGTTGGTCAGCTTTTAGTTGCTGTAATATAATCCCTGAGATAATCACATTATAAGAGAAAAATTGACTTTGGCTGGCAGTTTTGCAAGCTGCAGTCCATAATCCGTTGGCCCCTTGTTTTGGACCTGAGGTAAGGCAGTACATCACAGCAGGAGCAAAACCACTCACTTCA